AAAACTATTTTTGAAAATACTGAGTAAAGCTAACTGTAACCAGTTAAGAATTACTAATGTCACTAAGCCTTTTTCATCCATCGCAATGTAATTTACTGTGATCAACCTAATCTGTGCTTCACATTGAATGTTGACAAAAGGCTAAGATGTTCATGTACTAAGTACAAACTTAGAATTGAATATTCCTCTAATTTACTGACTATACTTAATAAATATTACTGTGGGGAAAGTGTAAAGACTGCTGCTTACACAGTTGGATTTCTGAAACTTGTTTTCAAGCAGTGTTTTTAATGCTGTGGACGAGCACGTTCCTCTATAGATGCACCTCCATTTTCAGAAGGCGTTTATGACATTGTACAAAATGAACTGTCAGGACCAATTCCCTGAATCTTCAATGGCTGCATTTGTAACATTGTGGTCTCACTTAAAATAGAATCCTAGAAATGTAGCTCACTCACATTCATTCATAATGCCTGTTTATATTATCTTTTATTAGCTTTTAAACTACTTTCACGCTCTTCATTTGCAAGTTACCACCCTGAAATGCTGGGAGGTTCCCCCCACCCAGTTCCTAGTCTGCAACAGTCGAGGTGAATGTCAAATAAATTGTCACTTCCATGTCTGCTTGAGTATTCCCAGTTGCACTAGTCATTGTCTGGTTCCTGTGTGTGTGAGAAAAGCTCCAGTGGGAACGAACTCGTTCCACAGCTATTATGCTTTGATTATTATATGTAACTCCCCCATTCTTCATCAGAGGTAAGTGATACTATTTCAACAGGAAAATGCATATTTTAAATGCTTAAAGCCTTCACCGATACCTTTGGGTAGGTTAACCTAGGTCTAGACCAGAGAATGAAGAGTCTGCAGTCAGCAGGAGGAGTCAACAAGGGATGGAAACTTGTATAGGAACAGAACAATACCAAGCCAGAGGCTGAGGGCAGTGTGGGGGAAAAACCAGGATGCTCCACAACTGATTTGTTCTAGCAAAAAGAAGCTTCCAAAATTGACAGCAAAACAAAGTCAAAGTGATACTTCCTTGACCTTAATGCCCACTTCAGCCAATTAATAGCAGCACAACATATAGCAACACAGTGAAAATCCTTATCTCTGCTGTTGATGGATGCTTTCCAGGGGCATTTAATTGGGAAATGGGGAGCTTTTACTTAAATAGCTTCCAGCTTGTTTACTTGCAGTGCCTAAGGCTAGAAAAGGAGTACTTGTGGCACCTTAAAGACTAACAAATTTATCTGAGCATAAGCTTTTGTGGGCTACAGCCCACTTCATCAGATGCATAGACTAAAACATATAGTAAGAAGATATATATATATATATACATACAGAGAACATGAAAAGATGGAAGTTGCCATATCAACTCTAAGAAGCTTATTAATTAAGATGAGCTATTATGAGCAGGAGAAAAAAAACTTTTGTAGTGATAATCAAGATGGCCCATTCCAGACAGTTGACAAGCTGTGAGGATACTTAACATGGGGAAATAGATTCAATTTGTTACATACACTGCTCTTACTTATCCTATGGCCCTCATGACACAGCTTGTCTTAAGTACAAGACATCAAGGAGATCTAGCAAAGGTGGGTAGGTATAGCTTCCAGAGATGGGCCCTAGAGAAGCCAGTATTAAACACGTGGTTAGGATTTATTATTTTGCCTAGAGCTAGTACATGTTATTTTTGCCTGTTGTATACCTGTAGAACTATCAGTGCAGGACCTAGTACTTTCAGAATAGGTTAGCTTTAGTGTCTATTAACCAACAGTTAGCCCTAGACCACCATTGAGTGTCCTATGACCCACTGTGGGAGGATGTGAGCTGATTTTATGCCACCTGGGAGTTACCCTAGGGAAAGCACTTTAAGCAAGCTTTTGATGTCTTGGTGCCAAGGGGACAGCAGAGATGAGAATATGGAATACAGCTTTGATAGCCTAAAACAGAGCTGCTATTGTGTTAAGGCAGCCTGGTTTACCAACAACTATTACAAGCTATACAGCAAGTGGTGAGTAACATTTGCCTTTTTGGGATCTTGAGAAACAGCTCCCCAAAACTGGCTGCAACTGCCTAGCTGAGTCTGTGTTTAGAACCCCAATCTGTGATAGAAGCTACAAGGCCAGGTTGACATGCTAAAACAGCCCAGACCTGTGCTCTCCACCCACATAGATAGTATTCAGGGGAAGGGAGTTGGCTACTGGGTACCAGCAGAATGAAACTCAGCTGCTCCCTGCAAGGGTAGGCAGAGAACTCCATTTTGCCTCTCACCTGAGTGGCCCAGCTGACCAGGAGCACTCAGCTAAGGGGGACGCACCTTGTGACGCAAACTACCTCTGAAACAGCTGAGTTGTTGAAAGCAGTGGACAGGGAGGAAAACCTGTCAGCCTGACTGAGCAGGAAAGGATTTTCTGTTGACCTCACCAGTTAGGCCACCTTTGCCCCAGAAGTCCAGAGCTTGAGCCACTTGGGAACTGCTCCATCCAGTGAAAGATCTGCCTTGCAGCTTTAACTGTAAGTATTGGGGCTACTTCACCTAACTAGAAAGGAAAGGGCTCCAGGTAGGGGGCCACAGGCACATCAAAGGAGGAGGAGGAGGGTACCTCCACTGTAAATCAGCAATAGGTCTGTAGCCTCATTTTTATATAGTTCCCTGCTGTTCAGGCAGCCCTCTAGAAGTCCACCACAAGAACTGTGTACACAGCAGCTGTGGGACAGATTGGGGTTGTATCCATCTGGTTTTTTTATTCTGAAGGGATATTTTGAAGATATTTCTTTTAAGCTGGATCTGTGCATTAGGTGCAGGGTTTAACCTGTTCATCTAGCTGTTCCTTGGCTTTTCCCCCTTGTGCCTTTTATGTCTTAGGGGTTGCATTTTAATTTATTAACCCAGGCCCCCAATGGAGATACTATGCATTGAGAACAGAGTTTAACTCCAGCAACCAACAAGGTAAGGGTAAGATGCAGCAGCCCACTAGTCCTCAGGAGGGACAGAGCCATACAGAGGGAAGTGGATAGTCTAAGGGGTTCAGGAGGGGTCTACATTTTGAAACGGCATGGAGGTGAAGTCCTTACTCTAGTGGAAAAGACAGAGTGATATTTAAATAGTTTTGGCTCTATTTTTTAAGATGTACAAGGGGCAGTTTGTCTTCCTGGAACTGTTTTGAAGAAGGAGTGCAAAGACAGCAGGAGGACTCATCTTGTTTTCAGAATTTCCTCCACATGAGGGCAAAGTCCTCATTAGTTGATAAAACATGAGCCCTTGACCTAGGGACTATGGTCTCTTCCAAAGACGTAACCAAAACTGGTGTTCACTTAATTTTATCTAGGCCTGAGGTGGGCAAACTACAGCCTGTGGGCCACATCCAGCCCGCAGGACCCTCCTGCCCAGCCCCTGAGCTCCTGGCTCAGGAGGCTAGCCCTCCTCCCCCGCAGCCTCAGTGCGCTGCACCGCCGGTGCAATGCTCTGGGTGGCCAGGCAGCGCACTGCAGAGCCTCGCATGGTGCTCTGCAGCTGCGCTGTGGCATGGCTAGCTCCAGCTGGGCAGCAGTGCTGCCAGCCACCGGTGCTCCAGGCAGTGGGGTAAGGGAGTGTGGGAGGGTGGATAGACGGCAGGGGAGTTCAGGGTGGTGGTCAGGGGGTGTGGAAAGGGGTCAGGGCAGTCAGAGGGCAGGGAATGGGGGGGTTGAATGGGTGCAGGGGTCCTGGGGGGCAGTCAGGAAGGAGGGGGGTTAGATGGGGCAATCAGGGGTGGGTGTTCCAGGGGTGGTCAGGAGACAGGGAGTCGGGGGGTTGGATGGGGCAGGAGGCAAGGGCCGGGCAATGCCACACCTGGCCTAACCAGCCCTCCATACATTTTCTGAAACCTGATGCGGCCCTCAGGCCGAAAAGTTTGCCCACCCCTGGTCTAGACAGATAAGAAATAGAACCCACTTTTTTCCTCTTCATGCCTTTCCTCTGCTTATAGATAGAACTATTGGGAAGCGTCTGCTCTAAGTTACTTAAATTAGGGTTGACTACAGTAGGAGTGGAATGAATTTGAGATAGAAAATATCACATGCCCCTATCTTGTAGTCACCCCATTTAAAAAAAAAAATTCAGAAAAGAGCAACCAATGATTTTCCTTGTATGGAAGCAGTTCCATACCCCTAGATTAATCAGACTGGGACTTTCCAGGTTGGAAAGGAGATGATGGGGGAGGGGGAGAGAAGATTGATCATATCTATCTAAACTCATAACTGGTGTGGAGAAAGTAAATAAGGAAGTGTTATTTACTCCTTAACACAACTAGGGGTCACTAAATGACAATAGGCAGGTTTAAAAAACAAACAAAAGGAAGTGTTTTTCCCCCCCCCCACACACACACAATGCTCAGTCAGTCAGTGGAACTCTTTGCCAGAGGATGTTGTGAAGGTCAAGACTATCACAGGGTTAAGAAAAAAAAACTAGGCAAGTTCATGAAGGATAGGTCCATCAAGGGCTATTAGCCAGGATGCGCACAGATGGTAGCCCTCACCTCTGTTTGAGAAAAACTAGGAATAGGGGATGGATCACTTGATTACCTGTTCTTTTCATTCCCTCTATGGCACCTGGCATTCGTCACTGTCAGCAGACAGGATACTGGGCAAGATGGACCTCTGGTCTGATACAGTATGGCTGTTTTTATGTAATTTATATTTAAGCACTGCCAAGTGGGCTTTATTAGCTTAATAGTAAAAAATTGGGGTGATTTAATTTTTATGGTGCTGTTCACATCTTTCCAGAAGACTGGCTATTTGAAAATTAAATTAGTAGCAATTTGAACACAATTTGATTCAAACTGTTGCAGCTTCTCTAAACATTGACAGCATTTCATCCTCACATACCTATAGCATAGTATACCATTAACTCCTGTTACTATTTGGTAGGTAAAAAACCACTTTTCTTTGTACAGTAGGTTTATTGCAATTTCAGCTTTATTCAGAAAGTGTAAAAATGTGAATAGTGTGCAATAGTTTCTAGAGCAGATTAGTCTATTGTTGAAAGACTTGCTTATTAAGGGAAAGGAGACTCAGTTCTTTAGGTGTATTTGTTTTTCTTAGCTACAATTAGAATTCACAAACAATATAGATGTTAAAATAACTAAATCTGTCTAGAAAAGTGAGCATAAGTTTAAACATTAAAGCCCAAGAATGATAATGTACATAGAAAATATCTTTAATAGTAAAAATCAATTGAACAGCCCAAGATTATAAACACAGCAAGATCATAAACAGAGCTTATTTTAAATTCTTCTAAAGTGACAAGGTGCAACAGAATGAAGGATTTGGGTCTGCTAAAATATGAAAGGCCAAATTCACTCACCCTTTAGGTGTCCAGTGTCTTAAAATACTATATATTTTTAATCAGTCTAACTGAAGGGAACTCTAAAGCACTCTAAAAAGCACAGTCCTAACATGGGCCAGATCTTAAAATTCAGACATACTATACAGTAGAGACTTTTGGAAAGGCAACAAAGAATTCTGAAAGCTGCTCCAGTGCTCAGATGGGGCTGCATTATCAGCTAACTTTTTAGCAAGGAAACAGACTTGTGTTGCTTAACTAGGGACTCTTGCTGGGCTATTTCCCCTCTTTTCAGTATAGCCACTAGGTAAACAAAACAAAAAACACGCTACAGTGGCTAACTGGAGTGGCTACTCATGACCAACCCCTCTATGTGCTAGACATTTTAGCTGTACCTTGTTACAATGCTGTATATTAATCCACTTCAACTCAGTGCTGTAATAGAGAACATATCTAGCTATCTGACAAAACAGAAGTTGTCCTCACCTCAACTATGAATACAGAAGTACACATCCTTATTTCAGATGTTTAATAAACACAGGAACTTTCTTTAAAAGGTATCAAAACTTAGCAATCATTGGAGTGTGTGATCTCTAGATATACCAAACTATTCAATTAAATTAGTTCTGTCCCCATTAATGTCTTGCCAAGTAAGCAGTTAACTTAGGTACTGATGTATTTAACCACAGTATTGCTTTGTTGGCATCAGACTTTAGTTCACATTTATAGTACAAAGCTACTCACCTCAAAGTTTCAGACACTTTACTGTACATGTCTATTTATTAAACTATTTTGAGTTTAACAGGTACTAGGCTATAGAAACAGTATAATGGTTGGTTTATTTAACTACAAGTTAAAAATACATGTTTTACAAATAGCTTGCTCATTTTAAAACTTTACACCAGTAGATTATATCATTTGGCTTAGACCAGACCAATCAAGGGAACTTTAGTATCAGACTCAAACATAAAATGAGTTCTGGGGTGTTTGGGCGGGGGAAAAAAACAACCCCAAAAACACAAGGATAACAATTTGCTCTGACTTTCAATTCAGTGAAGCTGCAGAAGGTATAAGTCGAGGCAGTATTTGGTCCACCTAAATTTCAGTCAGGCTTGAAACAGTTCTTCTTAGTCTGCTTGAGAAAATATTTTGAATAATCAGGAGTTCAGAAAGCTGAAGCCATTAAATTTGTGAGCATTTACCATCCCTGGCTAGGATGAGACATGCCCAGCAGGAAGTTACTGTAAACTTTAGGGCAAGTAGTTGTGGGTGAATAAATCACAATACTTCTATTTGTCATGGAAAGACTTGGAAAAGGAAATGTGCACTTGGATCTAGTTTCATTGAAGGCAGGGCCCAATATCAACAAATAGGAAGTTTCACATTCTGGAGGATGCTTTCTCCAAACAGGTCTGATAGGGGGGAAAAAAAATCCAAGATTCACATGTTCCAGAAGCTGCTGAAAATTCATGCAGTCTGAAGGGTCACTTTGGTTTAAGGAGTGGTTTTAGGTAGTCACTGCCTTTGTTTAGTTACATGACAGAACAGCTAGGATCTTCATTTTGCTGGAGACACTATAAAGAGAAATTAAATAGGTTAAGCCCAATGAACTACTGAGTATACACAATTTAGCATCCCTATTGTAATCAAGAATAATAAGAGAAAGAATGGAGAGGCGTGCATGATTAGAGGTTAATTATTTACCTTCTAACCAATTCCCATGTGGTTTATTCTTTGTTCTAGAGAAAAATTTTGAAGGTTAAATTTCTGCATTAAAGGAAAACTTAAGCCATAACATAGGAGATAGCTTCTGAATTGCAAACTGCTCAAAGCAAGCAAGACAGTCTAACAAATTCAAAGCTTGTCTTACATACATGCAAAAATCATGCTTTAAGATAACTAAAATGGCATAGGGCAGAAGCAATAGGAAAAAGTTGTGCTGTAGTTGAAAACATGTAAGATGCCTTGTTAACCTACACAATGAATGAGGAATTACTACATCTCTCTTCACTACTCTTCTGGCCTTTCCCTCTTGTAATATACTATAGGACCATATGGCTCTCAGTATGGAGTCTTGCTAGTTAAACCATGTTTTGTTAACAAACAGAAAAAAATAATCTATTTTGCAAGCTAGACATTCTTATTACACTGTCAATAGTACCTTCAAAGTTTGTTTTAGGCTGCTAGCAAAGGTGGGTGTTGGTATTTTAAACACAGGATTATTTAAAAAAAGTGTCCTATTTAGTATGTGCTGTATTTGAATTTCAACCTGGTTTAAGAGCTTAAGCAGAGCCATCTTGCCCACAGGGCTGGCTATATCAATAAAAGTTGTTTAGTGATGTATTAGGATGAGCCCCAAGAAACTTACTAGATTCAAAACGGATTGCAGCAGACAGAGGGGGTTAGTTTTCCTTCCTCAGCCTGAAGTGAGGCTAATGAAAGCAAAACTGTCAGTCTCAGGGTTGAGTACTGGGTGCTCAATTAAAGAACATATAGAGCTGGACTGAAAAATGGGAACGTGTTTTCACAGAAAGTTTCTATTTTGTTAAAGTTTTTGAAATTTTCCAACCCAGCATGAGTTAAGTGAATTGTGGATGGGCACGAACTTGTGAGTTTACATAGCAAAACCAGCTGAAAGATGTTGAGTCCCTGCATATCCCTGGACTTTTATCCCATTTTGCTGATCCTGCTAAGACAGTGTCACTTGGGATAGGGAGTCATTTTAGTTTAAATTACTTTAGACTAATTAAGCAACCTGTCTCAATCTAGTTTCAGTCAGAGTTCATACTGTTTAATATGAAGTCTAAGTGTCGTCTTCCAAAATAGCTTAGGAGTGTAGAATTGCACTCCTATTTGCATTCCTTTAAGGAATGGCAAAATGTGTGGGTGTGTCTCCAGTTTCTATTCAGGAGCTCACCTACATGACACCACAAGCCACTCATGAAAGTTAACAGATGTTTTGGACTCAAGCTGATTAACAACTTTACCAAGTTAAGACAGTTAGAGAACAATGATTCAGTATCAATTTGTTCTTAAAACCACAGCTTCCAAACACTTATGAGCAGAACGTTCTCTTCAAACTAGCCAGTGTCCAGTTTTTGTGTAGAGACACAGGTCATTATCTACACCAGCAGTTCTCAACTGGAGGGTGAGGGACACAATGAGCCTTCCTACTCATTCATGGGTCCTGCAATGCCACTCACTCAAGTTTGGCCCAGCCACCTCTCCATGATAGAGGGCCAAATTTCAGTGAGTTATGTTGTGACCTGGTGCATGGGGGTCACAAGGCCTACTAGCACTCTGATACCCACAAAGATTTCAGGGTATTAATACACTTAAATAGGTTGCCTAGCTTATGCAGTTAGACAGCAGGATCAAAAGGTCGGATTTATTTAAATTAGATTCTACATTTGTGTGTTTGGGGAGTTCCAAGTTAGAAGAGATTAGGGGTACACGATTTTTAAAAAAGTTTAGAATCGCTGATCTACAGCAACATTTCAGAAAGTTCTGTACCTTAGTTCTGCACCGTAAGATTGTCACCAACTAACATCAGGAAGAAGTTATCCTTCCAAGAGCCTAGTACTGTAGTTCGCTAGGTGCCTGGTATTTTCCCTTCTAAAGCACCTGGATATATATTGAACAAGAGGGACAATTGGTTCATTCTATGTGGCATCTCCTGTATCCCTTGTATGTGTGACTTGGAGCAAGAACTGGTTAAGTACAGCCAATCATTTTCTAGGATGCGAGAGACTGTAGACACCCTTAAGACCCATGGCTGCAAAAGTCAGCGCTCTATAATAGATCCCTGTAGTAGAAGGTGCAACTCCAAAGGCCAATTTTATTCTAATGTTTGACTTTTTTGGGAAAGTAAGAGCTCTGATGTTGGGAGGGATACCTAGGTAATCCCTCACAGTTAGTATAAAGCAGCACTTAGAGTATAGTCTACTGGCTTACATGACTGTTCCAGCCAAACTGGCAAGTCCTATTGGAGTCAGCACTTCCACAGTCAGAATACTGAAAGTTGTTTTAAGTCTTCACAACCGTGAATAAGTGATGCAATAAGAAAGTCTTGGTACCAAACTTTAATTTAGAATTCAGTTTTAAGTGATTTAAGTGACCAACACAAATCGAATACACCAATTAATCTTCATCACTAAATTTTGTAATCCACAACTCAAGCCCCATTTGGAGGGTGTGTGGTAGGTCTTTCACATGACACGATGATCCAGAAAGTGGCCAAAAAGACACTAGGTAAGTTAAATAGCCAGAACATGTTCTGGCTTCAAGTGGGCTTACTCTAACACTATGGCCTGCATCTGTTCTCTGATCCCACCTGGAAAGTAAACTCAAGGGAAGAGACTAGTGGGAGGTGGGGATTAAGCTACAAGTAAGTAGATGATATGCAGTGGATAAATTTCAAAAGCACTTAATAATGGCCTTAGGAGCCTAAGGCACTTATGAAAGTGTATCCAAGGCCTTTTAGTACATTTCAGTGGAAATATTTTCCTTCTATAGTCCAGATTTGAAGTTGCTATTATGAAACAATAGAAAGGACACACTGAAATCTGATATTCCAAATGAAGGAAGTCACTCCCCATTCCCTCTTCTGCTTGGTTTCCACAATTGTGCAAGCAACAAAAGATTTAACTAGCTTACAGTACACAAGATTTCTAGTTGCAATAAGCTAGATGCACAATATTGGTATGAGTATTTTGTCATCATTCCTGTCTTATACTACAGTTAGCTAGTGAATTTGTTCCTGGGCATGAACAAACAGTAAAAAGGCTCTGCTAGTTGTAGTTTCAGTTAATCAATCTTTTACTGGTCAGAATGTTAATTAAAATGTGAACCTCTAACTACAGCAATGTTGTGCTCAGAGATTGGATATGTGAAGCACTGATTTCAGCTCACATGCAAAGCCATGCAGAGACTACACAGAGGCAAGAGATTTCAGCACTACTGATGAAGCAAACTTTTCTGCAAGAAAACAAGCACAATGTGCACTCTGAAACAAGCATGATGCTCACTCTGGTCTCACCTATTTTGTGGTGCTCACAGGAAACACAATCATGACACCAAACAACATTTCTTTTTTCTTCTTTTGGTCTGACATCAGGGAGAAAAATGGCAAGAGTTGTAGGCCATGGGCAAGACTTTGGGGCATGTTTTTAGTACTGTTTACTACAAAAGAAAGCCACTGATTACTTCTGTTGCTACTATGTTCTGAATGCAGAAAGATTCTTACCCGACGATGAAACTCCATTTCGCTCCCTGTTATTTCTTCTTCATCAAACTCATCTTCCAGTTCACCACCTTCTTCTCCTCTGGATACATGTATGACCTTCCGTTCTGCAGTCTCCTGCAATAAGTTGTGTCCCCCCCACCCAAATTAAATAAGCTTGTTTGTTCTTAAGCAAATTGAAGACTAGAAAAGGTGCAACTGGTTATTGCTTCACTTACCTCTCCATCAGCATTGATGAGTGTAACACCAATGTTATCCCCAGTTCCCCAAGACTGCTGGGATTTCCAGACCAGATCACTAGGACTCTGGTTTACACCAGCATCAGCACCCCAGATCTAGAGAGAGAGCGCGCGAGAGAGATTTAACTGATGAGCTTTAAATAAAAAAATAATATTCATTTTAAACAGTCAGTAGACTGGTATTGGAACATTAAAGACCAAATTCAGTTTGGAGTAAGCGTCTATAGCTCCCATGTAAAACACTAGACACACTTCGTCTAGCAGAAACGTGGCTGTGAGGTGCTCAGAAACAGGTCTAAGTGGTAAATTAGGGCAGATTCCATGAATTGCCTTTGGAGTTGGTGGAACACTTAGTCTACCCACTAGGGCAGTGGCATGGAAGAAGTGCAGCAGGAAGAGCTGCTAATGGGAGGCTCTACCCGCTATACCCTCTGAATGTAGAGTTCTTGTTCCTGGCCAACCATTTTGTCCCACTAAGCCAACAGACTTTTGAGGTCATTTATTTAGTGCTGGCAAGTCTGTTCAGTGTTCAATAGTGCCTTATCTATGCTAGTCTAATTGCACAGGTTTTCTACTGGGCAGAAAGATCTGTTCTGAGCAGGGTCTGAAAGATGTAATCAGGCTTAAGTACTGCACTTGCTTAGAGTAGGTCTAACAAATATTGTGCTTAACATGCTGCCACCAGCATGGGCTCAACATTGCTACCACTAGAGTAGCTGAACCACCAGCACTAAAACAACCCCCCGCCCCCAACAAACCACTTAGTACAGAGCAATGCACAGGTTCAAGTTCACTACCAGGCAAGTGGCCTGCACTACTTCAATTGCCCTTGAGCAAAGTGCTAGGGAGACGACTTGGATTGAACAGCCCTCTTTCCAGGCCATGGAGCAGCTCTACAACTGCCACTCCAGTCTATTAGCCTCCACAGACCTTGCTGTGCTAATCAGTTGTGTGAGAAGGTGACAGGAAGAATTGCACAGCTTAGAAAGTAAACTGCACAGCATTTATGTTCCCCTCAGCCCATTCCCTACTGGCCCATTCTTAGCTTGTAAATGAAGAAAACTAAACCTCTTCCGCTCAGAATATGCCCCACTTCAACAGTTGCAAGTGAGATCACTCCTCTAAGGTTTTGATCAGGCCTCAACTATTAAGATGGTGCTAAGTCACTCCATTCCCTAAGTTGCACTGAAGTTTACCAGTCAGGCCATCTCAGTCTTGCCAAATTGTCAGGGGAAAAAAGTTTCCCCAGCATAGGCACTAAATATACTTGCCTTCTTTACATGATGGTAACAATAAAAAAACCCAAATCTGACTTTTAAAGTCAATTAGAATTACTTGCTTGGCAAGTCAGATTGGCAGGGCAGTGTTAAGTTACTTACCGTAACTACTTGGCCTGCTCGAAGGACAAACCGAGCAGGGAATTTGTATATTATTTCAGACAAGCTTCCGAGTCGTCGTCTTAGTACCCATCCATTTAGTGATTGATCCTGCAGTTAGGAAGGCAAGATACCATTACAAGAGGATATGAAATTGTAACTAGATGGACATCCTAAAGAGATCACACCTATGTGCTGTCATAATTTGTTAGTCTAGGCCATTTTACATTTCCTACATGCTGGTTTGCAAAGTACTGTTCCTTTCAAGACAGGGGCCATTCTTAAAGTATAAATTTAGTTTAACACTGTTCCATGTTAGCACTGAAGATTCTGGCAGCAGTGGTTGATCCCATAAGAGTTCCTGAAACAGTGATCAGACTAAGTATTAGACTTAGTAACTATATAGGTTTGTCTCAGCCTCACCATTCACTAGAAGCATTCAGGATAGCAGGCATCAATAGCACTTTTTCTTTTGGTTTAAGAGTGTTTGGAGATTCATAACCACTATCCTGGAGTAACGCAAGTCAGACTGGATCATCTTCTCCAATGAAGAATGGCCATAAACTATTTAGGCTGAAGGATACCACCTCGATCAGGCTTCTTCATACCATTTCAGTCTACATGTATTCTCAACTAGGGTTAAGCTGACTGATTTGTGACGTTTCATAACATCAATTTTTAATTCTCAACTTTTTCCATACTAAGACTCCCCTTCTTAGTTTCAAGTTATTCATTAGTTCAGAAGACCGCTCTTTAACAATCGCAGTCAATAAGGCAGAGAGGGGATTCCAGACACTTAGGTAGAGAACTTTAGAACCATTCTAAGGTAAGAACTCGGAGACTAAGATGTATGGTCTGAGAATCTAACCTCTATCCAATTCTGCAGCTGTCGTTTTACAGCAGAATGAGAACTACCATTGTTCATATAGGCTTGTTTGGCTGCAGTGTTACAAGTTCAGACACATTTGAATTGCAGAGCTTTTCTATAGTCCAGTTGCCATTTTAAGAACTAATCAGGTCATACCCTCTGCTTTAGAGCAAAAGCTACCCTTGTAATGCAGCATTTCCCTCCGGTCCCTGTTAGCGTCTAGGGTTCTGCAATGTTGGCGGAATAGGACCAAACCACTTATTTGCAGAATCATCCCTTCAAACCTGCGACTATTTCCCTGTTTAAGACATTCTTGTCCACAATATCCTGTCCATCCCATCCCAAAGGAAGTAGAAAGCCTGCCCTGGGAAGGGAGTCTAATGGCATTATTGTACCTTCTTCAGGAGCCAAGTTCTCATGGGGTAAGGGTGTCGTGCCAAGACCCATAGCCTCTGTGCAAACAGATATCATGGGAGTTTGTTAGGAATCGCATGCCCCTGAATTTTCCTCAGTCAGAGCAGCAGTACAAGTACTACCCATTCCATTTGTGAAAGCTCTAAAGGGTTCGTAGCAGTCAGAAGTTGAAAGTTTCCTGGCCTGTCTGACCAGAGCCTTCTCCTGGGTATTCTGCTCTGAACCCCCTCCACAAAACTCAATTAACTCCCAGCACTAGTGAAGCAGGGATTGTGGGCAGCTTGGGCTACTAAAGTCTACCCAGAGGCAGCTTTTCTTCTGCCCTGGTTCAGCAAGTCATGTTTAGAACATACAAGAGTGACTTAGAGCTGTGGATGTTGTCCAGCCTTTGACAGGTAGCCAGCCTAAAGCTAACCACTAACTGCCCAGGGTTGGGAGAACCTACTTCAGACTACTACCTAGTTTGGTAGGGTAGTTTGCATGTTCTTAACATGCCAGTTGAAGAATACAAGGATACCACTCTTGACTGTGGCTTGTGCCAGACTTCCCAGCAGAGAAACAGTTAATTGAGTAAGTAGAACCCCCCCGCCCCCAACACCAAGCAGTTAGATAGTTGCAGACTGCTGGATAGACTGGGTAAAAGCTATCTGATTAATTGGCTGCAGAGTAGGAGCCCTGCCACAGCTAAAACAATAAGCTACAAGGGATCTAAACAGCTATTGGTATTATCTGACACACTAAGCACCTTATATGCTTTTATCCTTGATTAAACTGGACTGATTGTCTTTCTGCATCCACAGACACACCTATAGCTTTCAATAAAATGGTATCGGTTTCCCACAAGACCGTTTGTGGCTTCTCTAACCAGCAACAGCTACTATTGACCATTTCTTGAACAATATGGAGATGGGTATATTAATTTAATTTAAACTGGTTCTTGAGGATCAAGAGAAGAGGAAAATCATTAGAAAAGCAAGATGCTGAATAAACTGGCCCTTATGATACTGGGCTAGATAGCACCACTTAGTTTAATGTGTCGATGTTGGTTTTGTGTATGGGAAAAGGTGGTTGAAGTTTGATAGGCTATCAGCCATTAGAGAGAGCAGGGAAGGAGTACCTCGTCCGAGTTGTTTTTAAGCTTGACAAAATTCCCTTCTGTGTCAATTTCTTCTATAGACACATTTCCTGAACATGATGCATGCTGAACAATTTTAAAGCTGACACTGTGCTCTCCCTTTTTGGATTCTTTCAGTTTTCTCTTTTTTCCATGCAGGAAGCGATGCCCATGGCTGGTTGTTGCCTGGGTTGCAACACTTTGGGAAGATGGACTAGATGACAGTTTTAGCCTAAAAAGAGCCAAGTGACCATGTTAGATATGCAAATTGTGCCAACCCCATTGTGCCCAGACCTAGTATAGCTTCCCCTCTGCCCATACCAGCTTAGTTGTAGTCTTGAGTGTGGTATTTTATTTTATGGCAAGGAGTCTCCCAGTGACCAATGTGCGAAAGCTTATGGCCTGCTTTCCAATTTTTGCAAGAAGAGTTCAGAGCAAGCTATGGAATTTCCACCTCCTCTCCCCCTGTCCCTCAGCTGTTGCATTAGTTTCTTTTTCTCTTATGGACACTGCAGGAATTAAGATCTCCATGAACAAACCCTCTACGGTAAGTGGTTAGACAGCCAATCGACTTGAAAAAGCATTGAGGATTAACATTATAAGGTCTATAGGAAAATTTGGCAGCCAAGGGATTAATTTTGTCACTTCCTAAGGTTACTAATTGCTGTTTCAGGGTACATGATGTTTCAATCAATGCATTTATCATTTAGAAGAGATTGCATATACTATAGTATAAAGCCCATCTTCAGTATTTTACATACCGAAGCCAGTAGTCTGATGAGTTCTCCCAGTAGCCAACTGGGAACAAGATTAACTTCAGATTTCTCCCCTCCCACTCAGTACATAGACTTATAGAATGAAAGTATGTTGGAGGAAGAAAGTCTTCTTGTATTGCTCAATATTGTATCCTACCTCTGTTCTTCTCCTTCCAGCATCTTTCTGTAGGCATTTATTTCTAGATCTAGGGCCAGTTTCACATCTAGTAGATGCTCATATTCTTCCAACTGTGCTTGCATCTGCCGCCGCGTTTGTGCCATTTCTTTATCTTTTTCAGCCATACGTCTTCGATGCATCTCACGGTCATAATCCAGAGTCTCCTGTAACTCTCTTATTCTGTTCTCCAATGCACAGTTCTTAGATTTAATTAAATAGGTTTAGTTATCAGTGAGTATTTTGAATAAGATGCTAAAATTAGAGCTCAGTCAAGAGCAATTTTGGGGAGGGATGAAAGCAGATAATGTCTAGAAAATACAAATGTCACTAAGGAAAAAAATCCAATGATCTCACTGAAGAATGGTACCTGGCTTTGATAATGATTAAGCTGGGATGTCAAAGTGTCAACTCTCATCTTTGTTTCCATCAGCTCCTCCCGAGCAGCATTGGCAAAGTCGCTATTTTTTGCGGCAGAAAGTTGGGCATTCTCCATCTATGAAGAAATAGTTGTCAACTGATTAGAACTCTGGTGACCCTTTGTTCTAGAAAAAAGGTTACCAAGTGATTTAGACATACAGATTTAGTTGCATATGTATGAAGACGTAGAGTATCTTAACAGTTTGTTTACAGTGGAAATTGATTTACCAAGACATAATTCAACATCACAACCCTAATCCAGCTCTTCATCACTGCCTAAACTATAGAATATTTCCTGTTACATAGATTTGTTGAAAATGCACAGAAGTGATACCACTAGAGAAGAAACTCAAGTTCACTAGCGGTACCATGGCTAATGGGGTAGGAAGCTGCCTTGAGACAGTACAGGATACTAGATAGTTTCTTTGAGTGTCAGTAATCAAATGCTCTTTCACACCAATGCTGGTACCAGAGCTCTGTGACCAAACAAGCATAGCCATGTTTAACAGTGTATTCAGGAATCTAACTAGTCATAGAGCAAGCAGAGATTGAGGTGATATTCCTTTAAGAAAGGGGAAAAAAGCTGGAGGAAACTAATGCAGTAACAGCAGCAGGACCCCTACTGAGAAAAGAACAATCAGGGCAAAGGAGTTAATACAGCAGGGTAAAGGGAATGTTAGTGAGTTGAAGACTAAATAGACAAACGGGAAGGAAGTGAGAACAGAGATCAAGGAATCCACTCAGAAAGTACGATCACATGTCTCTGCAGATAGTACAGAGGGCTTGTAATACTATAAGTGTCTCCATTAATAAAATTCTTGGACCATATTCCAATCTCAGTCACAGGTGAAAAAACTGGAGTATCTCTGGTATTTCAGTGACATTACCTATTGTAACTGGACTCAGTTCTGGGCTGCGGGTGACACCATTAGTATCAAGGTACTTTTGTAATCCTGTCTTGGTAGGAGGGTTGCAATTACATCAGCTACCAAAACTGGTAGATTAAGTTAATTCACCTTCATTACACGTGTGCACTCATTTCTGTTAGAGGAAGAATTAATCCTGCTGTAACTGGTACACAGTTTCAAACTTTTAGTACCATATTTCCTAGGAATTAAGATAATATTGGCAATAGACTAAATTCTGCTCAATTATTATACCACATTAATTTTTGGTGTGATTGACCTGGCCCTATGCATATAACATCTATGCATAAAGTTTAGATATTTGTAATAAGCACGTCAGAACCAAAATTGAAATTTGCTGATGGGAATGTTTAAAGTTTTATAATTCATACCAACTACTCCTGTTATGGAGGATAGTATATATTTATGCATCTCGACCAATTTTATTGGACAGTGAAGTGACAGCAGATAGCAAGTTCTATTGGCAGATCTTGGAGAGACTGTTCAGAGATTAAATGATTCAGGATAGTGGCTCCTACTGCAGAACAGTCTTCAATTAATGGGTCTCTACTACTTGAAGCAAATGGACCATACTCTGTGTCAAATACATTAGTCGGCTAGTTCAAGGAAGGGTCAAATGCTTCCTTGTCATATGAAGATGCAGAAAGCATGACAGCTTGTTCATTTGATTTGCAACTTTTGAAGACTCACTTTGGCACTGAATGTGCGCTCCAAGTCATCTTTGTATTCTTGAATTTGTTCTTCATGCTCCTTTCTGAGTCCTTGCAGAGCATCTGAAAGTTTGCTCTCAAATTCCCTCTGACGGCCAGATTCTATTTCCGCTATCCTGCTCTCATGGAATCTTTTTGTTTCCTTGAGCTCCTAGAGGAGGAGAAAAAGTATATGGCTTAAAGGTCAAATGAAATACCACCATTTAGCTTGAGTAACTGATCTTATGCAACTGCTTTAACAATCAACCAGTGTAGCAAGTCAATCACGCAACACTAAAGCAGATGTTTACTGTCAAGTATTTGGTCACTTGTTTTTTAATCATAGGGGATTTAGAGATGGAAAGGTCCATTAGGTCATCAAGTTCATCTGACCTTGCTGGGTTATCTTCCCCTAAGTAAAAAAAAGAATGGAAAGTAATAGATTTAAAGATCTCCAATGGGGTTCTCACTAGCTGAAAGTATATTCCCCTGCCTGTTGGATTATGCTGTCAACACATTTTTCTAGTTACCAGTCTAGCTAGAAAAGACAATAGCTTTTTTTTTTTTTTTAAATAAATGAAATCAGAAATGTCTTTTCCCCTATCCTTGTCTTTATTTGAAATTCAGTGGGATTTTGGCTCTTAAGTCACTTAGACATTTTTGAAAATTTCATCCTAAAAGTTCCATTCTAAAGCTGAATGGAGACTAAATTTAATTAATCCTATAGTATATAGAACCTGATTATGCAGCGGTCACCATGAAAGATACAAAAGGAAATCGCTTAGAAACAAGAACCTGTGAAGTTAGTGGTTTTGTTTGTTTTTTAAATTAGACATCCAAGTAGTATTAGGACTGTAGTTATCTTAGCAGGTGTAATTTCAGAGAAAGCTAAAATTTAACAGTCAAAATTGCAAAGGTTTCCAGGTGTTTGCAGAAAGCCTAAAGTAAACCAAATCTCATACTCCAGCAGGTAACACCTCCCCCCCCCCCTCATATTAGAAAACAAACTTTACAGGTGATTTACAGTAGCATAATAGAATAGTAACTACTGGATTTCAATGAAGCTTGAGGTGGAAGGAGAGAAACATGCTCAAATATATTAGGAGATACTGATGTTACCTAAATTTGTGCACATCCCTGGAGTTTACCCACCTAGGTGGCTTTTGCTGGCTGGCAGAGGGTCATAAGGTTGATTCAGCTAGTTACCTTTTTAGGAATCAAGTGCATTTTAACATTGATTTTGTAAGGGTATCCAGGGGCAATGGCAATTGGCATCTAGGAAATCCTTGCTAAAATTAACTTAGACATACATCTTCATGAAGGCGTTTCTGGAATGTCATTTGTTCCTGCACAGTTTTCATTTGGTTTTCCAGGTCCACTCTCTTCAACATTTCTCCATGGAGATGCTTTTTGGTATCTTCCAATGCCAACTTAAGCTAGGAAAGAAAAGATTTTTGTGGTAGATCAGAATGCAAGGAAAGTGACGTTTCTACACTAACAGCTAAAGATTAGATTTCAGAGTTACTCCTATAGTCAACAACTTTAAGGGAAGGAACCTTTCTGATTTAGTTCACTATCAATAAGGTCCAGAATATGTTTAGTGTTCTTCACATGGAAGACACTTGCAGTCCTGCCCCCAAAAAGCTTAATGGAACAGGGCTGCTTTCTGCTCCCAAAGTGATCAGATCTCCAGAATGAACTAGGCTACTTAACAAACCAAGTATACAGAAGCCTCATTAATCACTGACCAGTTAAGTTGTAGAACTACTGTTTTCTAACCCTACCCAGCTAAGGAACCCAGTTATGCTAGGATTATCAGTTGTACAAGACCATTGTCATTTTCCCACCATAATACTAAATGATGCAAGCCTCAATTTGAGATAAGAATTATGAAAATCCAAAGGCCTGAAACCAATAGATGGTGTGCATTTATTGTAATAAAGTCTTCCTTCTAAAACTCAATTATATCCTGCAAGTGTAATTCTTACACTAAGCCAACACGTCTACATTTTATGGCAGCATTTTAAGCCATCCTAGTGAAACAGACACACTTACCTCATATCTAACAGACCCTAAACTGCAGTATTTTATTAATCTCCTCCAACCCCTAAAGAACTCAAAACTGAATAGTATCCTAAACCCAAAATGCAATACATTTCAGGCAATTTTTTACAGTAAGAGGAAGAGCTTTTCACACACACAAAAGTTCATTAAATCAAATGGGTAGAGGGTTTCTCTTAAAGTTAGGGTAAAGCACTTAAAGATACAGTAAGAAGGTCCTTCAAGCCAGGTGAATAGGTAGACATTAATTTTTCCCTCCCTAGTATCTGCCATTTCAGGGGAGGTTACACAGGCTGTAACTAGCATGTTAAGAGCAAAGTTTAGTCTCAGCTACATGGATAGGACCAAAGAGTGTCATTCAATTATATGAAATCAAACTAGATGATCACAATGGCCCTTCTGGCTTTATAATTTATTAATTCATGTGATGAAGCAGGATTACAAGCCTCACAACATGGTTCCCCGACCCAATATTTTGGTTAGCAGAGATGGTGACCAGGACATGTGCTTTTATCAAAATTCTGCAAGTCCTTCTCTCCCAATCCTTACCTATTAAGTACAAGGAACTTCATGAGTTTTTAAAACTTTAATCTTATTTTCCCCAAAAAGTTTATAAACAGCAACAGAGGCAAAATAGAGAGTCCAGTGTGGGAAGTCATAATTGAACTTCTGGTATCACCAACCATGAAATAATGTAGATTCTATGCAACATCTTACAGTGACTATTTGATCCTTTAACTCTTGAAGGTCGCCCTCCAAACTTCTTTTTCCACTCAAAGCTGTTGCTAAGTCAGCCTCCTTGGAATTCAGCTGAGCATCAAGATCTCTGATACGAGCCTGTGCCAGGTTTAAGTCAGCTTCTTTTTTAGAATTCCTGCAAGTGAAAGTTTTACATTCATAAGAATTTACTGCTGGTGGGGAGGGAACAATATATTTAATCTTCTTACATTTTTATAGTTTCTACCACAGCTAGCCATTTCTTGTCTATTTATAAATGGTTAAGAGTAGCACTGGAGTATAATTCACTATCCACCATCACCCAAAAGATGAAACTAGACAAAAAACCTGCATGCAAACATTAACACCTGTATTATTTCATTGTACCCTTGAGTCACCAGTTCATTCTGTACATGCTTTTACAGTGCCCACTGCAGTAGCATTGACCCCCACCCACCCATCTAAAGTAGTCTCAGATTTCACTATCTCCCCTTGAGTGTTTTCTGAACAGACAGCAGCTAGAAGCTCTTGTAGCAGTGATCGTGACAAGGGTGAGAAAGAGCAATTCTCCTTTCAAGTAGCTAGAAAACAGATCTTTAAAATTTGACATCTGCTAGCCGGGGGGGGGGGGGGGAAAGGAGTCCTACGAAAGAGCAGCAGTGGTAGAAATGCCAACAATCTTCTTTTCTCATCAGCTGGGAGTAAGAGTGGGCATTGCCCCTTTGACCTTCAAATGGGACCCTCAAAACCTTTCCTTTCACATCTTCCTCTGGGCTAGATGATTTACTTCTCTGACTAGCACATGTCTGGCAAGTTTTTCAAGCCCAGGTTTAACATGTAATGCCGGGACAGAAGGGGAATTTCAGTCAGCTGAGCGGCTAGTTCAGTTGCATTCCTGTGTCGCATCAGGCATGTGCTTAGCATCTTTCTTGGCTCAGGCGGACACTAACATTAGGGATGTTTAATGGTTTCCTCAAACTTTAGCCAAATCCCTGGTAAAACAGCTCCAGGCTGGCAGAAAACATTTCTGGTGCCATCCACTAATCCAAGTGCCAGCAGCCTGTAATGGCGCCACCCATGAGAGAGGGAGGAGTTTTGGCCCCAAGAGGCCACCATCCTGGCTGTGATCAGAGTAGGGCACAACCCTGAGCATGCTCATTAGGAAAGAAGCTCAGTCACTGGCCTCCTGGAGCATAGGGCTTAATAGTGTGGGGTTATCTGGTAACGTGGAGGGGGAGAGGAGAGATGAGCCAGGAGAATGGTATCGGACGGCCAGTAGGCCTCTGCCTCAGGACTAGATGGGCTGCCAGGCTCACCCACCTCCACTTTATTCTCAGAAGGAGCTCGGACCTTGACATCCAGGACAGGATTCTGGTAAAGTGATTTTTATGTGGAAAAAACAGGACACAGTAGGAAGTTTGGTGGGCCAAGAAGGTATGCACTGGAAAGTATGGCATGCCCACCTCTTTCCCCAAGCAAAAGATCAGAGGTGGGCAAACTACTGCCTGTGGGCAACATCCGGCCCACGGGACCGTCCTGCCTGGCCCTCGAGCTCCCGACTGGGGAGGCTAGTCCCTGGCCCCTCTCTCGCTGTTCCCCCTCCCCGGCAGCTACGCCGCCGCGTGGGCAGCAGGGTTGCACGTTCCTGCCAAGCAGCGTGTCTGGCTCCGGCCGGGTGGGTGAGACTGCCGGACATGCTGCTCTGAGTGGCATGGTAAGGGGACCAGGGGGTTGGATAAGGGGCAGAGGTTCTGGGGGGCGGTCAGGGGATGGGGGAGTGTTGGATAAGTGTGGGAGTCCTGAGGGGGCCTGTCAGGAGACTGGGGTGTGGATAGGACTCAGGGGACAGGGAACACGGTGGGGTTGGATAGGCATGGGGTCCTGGGGGGGCCTGTCAAGGGGCAGGGGTGTGGGGTCCCGGGGGCAGTTAGGTCCCAGGAGGGGGCAATCAGGGGACAAGGAGCAGGGGGGTTGGATGGGTCAGGGATTCTGAGGTGGGCAGTCAGGGGGCAGGAAGTGGGAGGGGTCAGATAGGGGGCGGGGGCCAGACTGTTTGGGGAGGCACAGCCTTCCCTACCCAGCCCTCTATACAGTTTTGTAACTCCAATGTAGCTCTCGGGCCAAAACGTTTGCCCACCCCTGCAATAGAAAGTGCTAGGGAAGAGCATGGGACTCATTCAAAGGCACTATAATGTTTCTGGCCTCAAACAGCTATGACAGACACAGATTTGTTAGAACTGATACTGGAAAGTGACATTCCTGATTATCAGACAGTTCTTTGCTGAGATTTTAAGGAACAATCCCTATTTTCTCATGGTGAAATCAACAATCTGGGAAGTGGATGAATTGTGAGTTTCTGAGCCAGGGTTTCCAATTGGTCACTGAGTTTGTCCTCTCTCCCCTATCCCACAGTACAATTTAATTGTGCATTATTGCTGTTAATACAAAAAGTTAAGACAATTATTGGTTCCCCTGCCAACAGCTACTATAAAATTCAAATACGTCTTTACTCTGTGTGGTTATGAGTAAGAGGACAGACATTGTAGGTCATCTGTTCCCATTCATGTGGAATTCTTATTCTGCAGGTTTGAATTTTAGACACATTTTCCCTTTGTGGACATGTGCTGCCATATTCCTGCCATCTAAAAGTCTACATTACTCCTTAACATAGCTGTTGAATGACTGTCTATGCTGGCTTTTAGAAGTGTATAAACTATTTCATAGTTCGCAGGACTGCCTTAGTGGTTGGCTACTAGGAATAGTGGATGCCACCCCAAAGTACAAAGTTATTTTTATTCTTCCTCCAGTCCTCAAACCAAGATATGGATCTCAGATTGACTAGAAGAGCTTAAACCAGTATCAGGGGGTAGCCATGTTAGTCTGTATCCACAAAAACAACAAGGTATCCGGTAGCACCTTAAAGGCTAACAGATTGATTTGGGCATATGCTTTTGTGGGTAAAACACCTCACTTCTTCAGATGCATCAGTATTAATAATCAGTATTTTCAAAGTCCATTTCTTACTAAAGAAAGATTGGGGTTTACCTATATGTGTCTAAGATCTGAGGACATCCAAACAGTCATAAGATTCACTTATGAGGTCCCATTTTGCATCACTGAACTACACATTGAGGTGGAACCATCATATTTGTATATTCAGAGTTATTTGTATCTCTAAAACCAGTTAGACCAAGTATCTTCCTGTTTATTACTTGTATTCTCTTCCTGTGCCCTTACTCCTGTTCTGATCCTTCTCCTCCTGTGCCCTTACTCCTGTTCTGATCCTTCTCCTGCAAATGTGATGAGATGAGAGAGCTGGTGTGACTATGCCAGTCATTCTTTTCAAGCATCCTACATCTGGCTCTTCAGTTACCACTGTTGGTCTAAGTATGCACTTGCATCTCACTTCTTTATACTTTAAGAGTGTACGAAGCACTGTGTAGTAAACCAAGTTGAACAACTAATGGTTATTGCTTGCAGGAAGAGTGTTGGATACTGTTCACCCCATAGGAGTTCTAAGCTATTTAAAGGATATATCAAGTTCATGACATCCAGGAAGATAAGGTTGTTCCAAGTCATCGGAGACACTTGCAGTTAGACTGCACAGAAACAAGCACCTCTAAATATTAGGACTTAGATCTAGTACATCTTTTACTGAACATACTGCGTATGTAAGCCCTTTTCCATTTTCAGGAGGCTGTAAAGTCAGTCATTTCTAAAGCCTAGCTGTTTCAGAAAGTAAAAAACACCAATTCTCAGGACTACAGATCAGCCAAGTCTAAGGTTCTATAAACAAAGACTGGAGTTATCAAAACACTAAAAGTAGTTGAAAAATTTCAGAACTGGCACCAGTCCTTTCCTTGCTCTCCAATCACAAGATGAGAGATTAGGTTTTTATGAAGCTTAAACTTCTGAACCAAAACCAAGCATGCAAGACATAAGTCCAAGAGTTGTAAGCCGCTGAAAGTAGGTCAGTAGAGAAAGCATTTGCTCCAGTCTCGGAACACCCACAGGCTTTATTCCTGTACAGGTTTGGAATGGGAATACTTTAGAGACCTACTCAACAGCTAAACCCTAGCAATAGATATCGGCATGTAAGGGCCACATTAGGGTAGGATTCTTAACGTAAGAGGCACCTCTCGACAGGGGTCAGTTAAATCGGGCATCGATAAGCCACACCCCACACGGGTAATCCATTAAGGCCAGGCTCCCCCATAACATAGCTGAGGCCTGTCATTTGTTTACAGGTGACCGATCCCCCTATACTTTTATTAGCTGCAGCAGATTCGGTTGTCCCTGGGTGCTAAGCACCTGTTCCCGGGAAATCCCAGTACCACGCCCCAATCTGCGAGCTGCCTGCAGGAGCAGTGACCAGCAGGGAATTTCGAGAGGCATTTAGCTATTGGAAGAGAGGAGGAGGGGGGAGGGCCAGGGACACAGAAGAAGGGGGGCGGGGTGCGCTAATAGTAGCCGCTGGAGCCAGAGGCTACTCCCCCTGCCATGTGACAGGGGCCAGGCCGTGAAGAGCAGCCGCTCGCAGCCCGGCTAGCGCAGAGGGAAGCGAGGAGACACCGACCTGGCGTGCAGCTGCCGGTGCTCCTCGCTGAGCTTGCCCAGCTCCACCTGCAGCGTGGCCCGCTCGATGGCGATGCAGTCCAGCGCCTTGCGGGCATCCGCCAGCTCGGTCTCGTAGCGGAGCCGCAGGTTGCCCAGCTCCCGGCTGCTCCCTTCCTCCTGCTCCGCCAGCCGCAGCTGCAGCGTGGATTTATCGGCCTCCAGGGCCCGCACCCGGTCGATGTAGGCGGCCAGGCGGTCATTGAGCTGCTGCAGCTCCTCCTTCTCCTGCAGCCGGCTGAGCCGGGTCGGGCTGAGCGGGGAGAATGCGGCCGAGCGACCGAGAGCTCGCCCGCTGCCTCCCGGGGTGGAGGACACCGCCGTGGCCATGGCCGCGTCTCTACGGGCACGATCCTCGGGGCTAGCGCGGCCGCCGCCCGGGGCGCCTCGGGCTGGGCAGGCACCTTCAGGCCCCTGCTACATCCATGGCAGGAAGGAAACGCCCCTTTGCAGGTCACCCCCAGCCCCTGCACAACCAAGCCGACGCCTCAAGGAGACATGGAATCCCGGCGCCCGCCCCCTGCGCGCCGCGGCCTTTCCCTGCCCACGCTCTCACTGAGAGGCACAGTCCGGTTCCCCCGGCTCCAGCCCGGGTATAAATAGCCAACACCAGCTGCAGTTCCAGGGTCCTTCCGGCACGGGCTGCGGCACCGGCGGCAATTTAAAGGGATAGAGCCGCTGGATGGAGGAGCAAGCTGTACCAGCCCGGGAACGAGAGCCTGTTGGGATCCCAGCTCCGGGTGGGGTCTCCCCGCTTTAGAAAATGGGGAGGGAGGATTTTGTTCGCTTTTCAGTAGGGCAGTGAGTGAACGCCACACTCCGCTTCCTTTTCCAGTCTCCCCGTTCAGATTAGCCCGGCTGGAGACGATATAGTCCTGGTCAAGAGGTGCGAGAAAAGACATGCCACTGATGGGCGTGGGGAGTGCCCATTAATACAGTTGCTAATTCTGAGTTTATATTCAGCACCCTAAAGGGACAGATTGAAAATGTCATATTTAGAAAAGCGTCCTTCCTTGTGTTCGCGTTCCAGTGCTTAATTTGTGCCAGGGCTGAGACCCCCGTCACCTCTAGGTTTGGCAGTTCATATCCCTGGCACCTAATTGCTTGAGCCAGCCCCCCCCCCCTCCGCCCCCCATCTGCTGTGTTCAGATTATTACAAACAAAGAATCTTTCAAATCTCACTTACCTTTTCCGATTGGTGCTTTGCCCTTTGTTTACCTTTATTTTATTTTAACATTTTATTCAGACTAGTCAGTGAAAAGTACATTAGTCTTTTCCATTGTTTGTTTCTAGCCATTTTTAGCTTTCAGGTCAGTTTCTGGTTCTCATCCATGCACCACAATGTGCAATGTTTAGGATGCAAATTGCTGGGGGGATTTTTACATCCAAACAAAAATGTTGTCACTTACAGTTGAAGCCATCGTGAAAACAATTCTATCAATTATAGGTTTGATCAAATTGATTTTTTTAACAACACTCTATTTTTGTAATGTCCCTTTCATAAGGAAGTTCACTGGCAGTTGTAAATTTCCTTTATTCTCACTTGAGATTGTAATTTCCATGGATGACTCTTACTGTTTGGAGGGCAGAGCCTGTGTTCTTTGCATACTCAAACCTTAGGCAAACTCCCACAGATTTTATTGGGAGTTTGCCTGAGTAAAATTGCAGGGAGGATTTCAGAATGTTGTTGTTAACATTATTTATCATTTGTATTGCAGTAGTTCCAAGATGCCTCAATCAAGATCAGGGACCCCATGTGCTAACTGCTGTCTCTACACAAAGTAAGAGAGAGTTCTCTGCACCCAAAGAGCTTGCAGTCTAAATATGCAAGACAGACATAGGAGTGGAAACAAAAAGGTGAAGTGGATTTCCCAAAATTCATAGAGCAGGTTAAAGGCAAAGCTGAGAATAGAACCCAGGCCTCCTAGGCCACTGCCCTATGCATACCACGGTGCTTCCCACTAGATTGGGCCCCAGGTGCATAAAAAACAGATAATATTTTAACACAAATAAGTGCCATCTATCCATTTTAATATGGTTCCATCATGAGACTGCATCATAGTCTTTGAAGAAAAGTATTCCTACATCTGTTTTCTTTACTAATAATATGACATAGGTGACTCTGAGAAGCTTTAGGTGTAGTTTGTGACTGTGGTACTTTCAGCCGTGCTGGCCCATGAAGAAGCTACACTACTTTGAATGGGGTATAGCGAGCTGCCTATTCTGCCCCTAATTGGCATGCTGGTTGGGTACTGTACTGGGGAGAAGCTCTCACAACTGTGCTCTCACCGAGGCTGAAATACTGACTCCACTGAAGTCAATGGCAAAACTTTGATGGACTTCAGTGGCGCCAGGATTTTACTCCGAGGCTCAGACCCACAAAGGTATTTATGGTCTTAAGTTTTATTTTAGGAGCCTAAATACCTTTGTGGATCTGGGCCTTAGTTTTCACAGAGTTGGTAGGAAGGAGCAGAGATTGCACTGTCAGTAGTGTTGTAGGTGGCCACTGTGTGGAGTGCGTCTTGCACCCTCTCTATTTTATTCACCCTACTGCTACATGCCCATGACATTCTGGTCCTTTATGTACAAATTAATTAAGCCCTACCCTACAGTTTACAATGTATGAGTAGTCTGCATGCATTGGAAATTGCAAGAGTGAAGCCCTTAAAAGTCTTAAAATGCCTTAAAGAAAAAGTCAGGGTTTTAGTAAATTTATGGAGGCAAATTATAACTTGTATTCTTCATTGTTATTATTTATTCATGACAGCCACTTCACAGGCTGCTAGGCACTTAACAGAACATACCAGAAGACACAATCCCTGGAGTGAAGAGCTTGCTATCTAATCATATCCACTATACATAATAAAACTACTAAGTTACAGACAATAGATGGGGTAATAGAAGAATGAGTGACTCAGGGTTTATTCTACTCTTCTTAATTTGGTCAAATAACAGCTGTAAAAAAACAAAAGCATAAGATTGTTTTGAAGTGGCACACAGTTCATGCAACCATATGCAACATGACTGACATATGACCATCTAGTTCTTATTCCTGTAAAAATAACAGGAACTTCTTCCTCTTCTTTTCTGCAAATCAGCTTAATTTCTTACTTTAATAATGTTATTATTTGCCAATAGAAAGATTGACTCAAGAAAACTATTGATGACGACCTAATTCTGAACATGTGCCTTCAGGAGCTACATGAGTACATGTGAGGGCAGACTTTGGCTCTGAATCCTCAGTGTCCTACAAAGGCACAGTATAGATCATATGGCATGATCATGTTTGAGGGTTGTGTTACTATCTAGCTGTTCAAATGCAATCTTGTGCAATTGGAACAAATATAGAAGCAAGTAGTCTGCTGGTCTAAGAATCTTCACTTTGCTTCCCAAAACTTCTGTAATAGATCAAACGAAAAGTGCTATAAGAGAGGGTTCAAAAATAGACACAATCAGTTTTATCTGTTGTATTCCTCATCTAACCCCCCATGCAAGAATAGGAGAAGACAGCAGAAGGTACATTATGAGTGGGTAATGGAAATCAAGAGCTGGTTCTTATTTTCTGCCCTAACCACGCTTATTCAGGATTGCAGTCTGGGCTCTTTACACCACTTGGGTGGAGTAAAGGGGCTGGAGTCCAGATGGAGCTCCTCATTGGGGAATCTTCACAATGTAGGCCAGATTAACTGTATGCCACATTCCGATATAGCCCCCAGCACAGAGGCATGTCAGGAGTGTCTCAGGAGCAGGAAAAGGTGCACTGGACTATGGCTATTCTGGGCTCCAGTGTGTTCCACAGGCAGCCATTCCAATCTATTTAACACCTATGTAGGCACATGCCATAATTTAGAGCAGACCTTGGAACCGCTCAAAGTTATGCCCTGGGCTCCATCAGATCAGGCCAGAATTCAGAAGGTGCAAAGATGGCATAAACCCCCTTTGTTCTTCTCCCTCTTGGGCAACAATACAGATTCTGGCCCATGGTTGTTTTCTGGATTCATGTTCTTTCAGCCATTGAACCCCAGTGTTTTTTTTTTTTTTTTTTAAGGATTGTATATTGTATTGTACCATCCCAGTTCCACTTCTGCATTTCCACTGTCAGCTCTCTGGGACAGGGATTGGGTATACATTGGCACAGTTCTTCTGTTGTACAGAGCTGGTTAGCTTGAGGTGCTACAAAAATGTGGCCAGATTCTGACACTTTTACTGGGGTGGAGTAGCACTTTCCTCCATGTGTGATAGCATTGCTGCAGTGGGGCTACACGTGGAGTAAGGTAGTATTCAACATGAGTGAATGAATTTGACCCATAATAAATAGAGCTGCATAGAAAAATTCAAAATTACAATGAAATATAGCGAAACCAAAAATCTTCTGAAATGTTTGTGGGTTTTCCCCCCTATTTTTTTTACCAGATCTAGAGCTGGTGAAAGAAAATGAAAAATGTGAATGAAAATCAGGGGGGAAAAATCCAACTAAACTATTTGCAGGTTCCTCCCCACATTTTCTGACCAATCCTATCAATAATAATCATGAACTGACAAGCTTCTAGAAGTCCCTGCTCTCTAGACGGACACATCCCCTTGAGATATGACTGATCTGAACATGTTTGCAGACTGGTATAGTTTACGAATATTGATTAAACAAAAATGTTTGAGGCTACAGACAGTAGGCAGGCTGGGTTCATTAATATAAAAATAATGAGATCTGCACTGGCAAATTCTAGGAGTAGATGCAGAGTTCACATAGTTAGCAGAGGTTTTCACAACGTATCAGCAGTTTCCATTCTCTTACATCCTCTCTCCTTTTTCATTCAAGAGGACCCTTTCCTAAACCAGCTTTTGGAGACAAAACAGGACAATGGACAGCCTCCAGAACTGTACTGTAACAATAAAAAAAACCAAAACAGTTTACAAACCACTACTACTTTCTTGTATTAAATGAAGAATGATATTAACTGGATGCATTTGAATATATGAATAAACATTTCTCTTAACGATCAGTTTATGGACAGAACACTCTCAAATCAGCCTGTAAACATTCTAATGCTTGTGGCTCATGCATTAGTCCTCAATGCTTCTGTCTCTGTCCCGAGCCTCACTGAAGTGGGATTGTGAGACCTGACAGCTTGATAATGGTTGTGCTAATGTATTACTAATAATAACTGGGTGGGAGATGGAAACTCCTTGAGAAAGTCAAGAGTCTCCCACCAGGAAATTAGAGCAATAGAAGTTAGAAAAGTAGTACCGGTATATATCACAGTTAAATACCAGACTAGAGTTGTGTGGCCTATAAAATGGATTCGGAACACACCTCACTTCAAGGGGTGAAAAGGCAATTACAGTCTTCATGTCACTGATTGTAATATACACAAATAGGGATTTAACCCCCTTCTTTGCCTTTGAATCATACAAAATATCCACAAATGAAATTTCTATGTAGTATTGTACACATAATACTTGACTTGTCTGTCTAAATAAATCAGGGCGAGTTTCATAGTGCTTGCTGTGTTTTTAATCTTCTGTCAGCACTACAGGCTTCTTTTTAAAAATTGCCTTATTTCACAATGGTCAGCACTAAACAAAGAAACAAACTAACAGCCATACCATGTGAACTGTTTATAAAATTTTTATTTGCCTCATGATCGGTTCTCTTCCATTATATTGCAGAATTGATGGCTCAGTGTCAGCTAGACATCACATATTTTTACTAATAGATGGTAAGCAGTCAGGAAAAAATGAGATTTTGGAACTGAAAAATGACTAAAACATTTAAAAGTCATTATTTTAAAATAAAATGACTTTCAAGAGTTACTTTTGGACCCAGAGTTGTGGCACTTTATACTACTTCTTTATACACACAATTATTCTTGTG